CTGTGCGGACCATATCAGAGCCTGCAATGATTTTGCCCTCCGAAAGGGAGGAGGTACCGGTTGTTTGGAGCCCGTGCGGCCTGGAAGTCACCGCCCAAGAGGCAGGTTGGCCGCCATATCCCCAGGAAGAGCGTCGTGCTGTTCCTCATTTGCGGTATGCAAGTTTGGGCGTCATGCTGCTTGAGCGGGCGCTGGTTCTCAGAGTGCCGCTGGAGAGAGGAGCTCTGGGCAGTACAGCGCTGGGAGGAGGAAGAGGGAGCTGGGTGCTCTGCCTGGCTATGGCGGCAGCCCAGCCTGAGTAGGGGGAAGAAGGGGATGAAGGAGGGAGAGTGGTGAGGTACTCACCTGGCTATGGTGGACGCCATCTTCGTCACCTTGTTAGGCGCTGCATCTGGAAGGCCCCCGTTGGGGTAGCATTGCACCAGGAAGGCTTCAAGGCAGAGTCAGGCATGGTGGCCTGAGAAGCAGCGGACACAGCTGCTTTGCGTTGTCTTTTGCACAGCACGGCTAGACCCTTAGTAGTCCGCCATAGCCTCGGCCTGGTTGAAGAGAAGGAAGAGGGAGGCTATGACTATGGTGGGCCTCTGGTTATGTCAAGCAGTAGAAGAGGGATTTGGACATTGATTCTGGTTCAGCAATGCATCGTTACTGTTGTTATGAAACAACGGCGGACGCGGCAGGTTTTGAGTTCGTAAAGGCAAAAAAAAACACGCGGCGGCAAAGAAATCAGGCACCGACTTTGAAACAGCACTTTCGGTAGGAAAATATCCGTTGGGATTTTTTTTCTTTTCTTTCTTTCCCCATCTGACACCACAGCCGACCCCTGTAAAATATGACACCCGGCCCGGCACCACGGCCGCGGTGCTTTCATTGCCCTTTTCGAACTCGCGCCTGGTTTCTTTGCCGACATGTTTTTTTGCCCCCTCCGAAACTCTGATGTGACATGAACATACTTCCCTCTATTATTATTCATTTGTTGAATAAGAGAGGGGGAGAAAAGGAGGAGGAGTTGGTTGGCGAGAGAAGGGGGGAATTGTCTTTGGCCTTTTGCTGGTGTACATCTTCTTCTTCTTTCTTTCTTTCTTTCTTCTTCTTCTTCTTCTTCTTCTTCTTCTTCTTCTTCTTCTTCTAACTCTCTCTCCTCTCATGTTCATTCATTTCTTCTTGCAAATGGATGGCATTGTACTTTCTTGTGAATTTGCACTTAGAAATTGACCAGGATTGTGACAAAGAGAAGGAAAGCAAAGAAAGTGTGAAGTAGAAATGAGAATATGTGTCCCATTGGCTAGCTCATGTGGTTGCAAGCCTGAGCTGAAGGTGGTCGGTTTAAGGCCCACCTGGGTCTCTCTTTGGCCAGAACAACATTGTACTCACTGGCGGCTGGAGCAGCTAGCCAGTTGGAGCACACTCAGAGGCTTGAGCGACCTGACAGATTCGTCAGTTGATGGTAGGCTAACCTATTGGAGACCGGACATACCTGAGGATTCTGCGCCTGAATTCTACTTAGAAGTTAGAAACTGATTTCTGAGGATGATGACTTGTATACAATGCCTGATCAGGGTTACAAGAGCCTGGGCCACTGATGGAATCATGGATTCAATGCTAGGACAGAACACTCGAAATCATACCCTTTTCCTTGTTTAAACTCAAGAATGAGGTATGGAATCTATGGATATTAACTCTGAATTGATTCCAAAATGATATCTGAGATAACTCTGAACTATGAATGCTGAACGATGTCGGGCCGGCCATTTTCGTTGATAATATCTGAAGGTCATCGCCCTTTCTTTAAAAACGGAGAGAAGGAAAAGGAGGAGATGTCTGAAGTACTTGCTTTTCTCTCTGGCTCTGCAAAGCCTGAACCTCTGAGGCTCTGTCATAGCTTATTTACATTTGCCATTGGAGATGAAATGATCTTTAGATTTACAACAATCGCTCAAATCAGTGCCACGGAACTGTACATTTCACTTCAAATGACACGCTCTCAGGGTGAGACAATACCCTGCTGTAGCCCTTCTGTACCTTGCTGCTCAGGGTGTTATGTCTGTGCTTACCCAGGCTGTGTGGTTTGGGGCCCTTTCGCAATGCTCTGACAGTTTTTCCATCATTTGTGTATCGGTTCCAGTTGAGGCAGGTACATCTGAAATTCCGCATACACCAGTGGTTTGGTCCCTTCTGCGATGCTCTGACAGTTTCTCCATCATTTGTGTATTGGTTCCGGTACATCTGAAACTCGGCCTACAGGTTAACTGGCGATTTTCGGATACCAATGATGCTTTGAACTGAGAGGATTTCACATGTGGCCCAGGGCCGTCCAATCAATCTGTAGATCGACGGTGCTGGAGGCAGGCCTCCAAAACGGCCTGCCTGTGTCCCTACCGGACATCCAGGCATCCCTGCTGATGCAGCAGAGATGTCCAAAAAAGGACAAGGGATGGACCAGCACTACAGACGAAAACTGGTCCAGCCAAAATGCGGACAAAAGTCCGCGGGGCTGAAAAAGGGCAACTTGGCCGTGAAAGGACCCTACAGCTCTGAACAGGCAAACCAATGGAACGGAGCCATCTAACCATCAAAAAAAAAAAAAAAAAAAAAAAGGCAAACATGCCTGTTCACTGTTCAGTGCAAAAGATACGTCCCAGACCAGCAAACCTGGAACAGACAAAAATACTCTGCTTTTTTTTGAAACAATGGTGCACGCAGCAAGTTTTGAGCTTGAACTTTGAAAGGGGCACATTCGTTTATGTCAGCTTTGAGTTTCGAATGTGCAAAAAAAACAGGCCTCTGCAAGTTTGTCACGGCCTGAGTTCAAAAAGGTGTTTGAAACTCAGGCCTGCAGTAATGACAGGGCGGTAGTTTTTTTTTTTTTTTTAACAACCCGTTGTGAGGGCCCCATCTATTCTGGGGTGCATTAGTCCGGTTGCTCATCACCAGCAAGCAAGTTTTACACAATCAACAAAGGCTCAGTCAGAATCAAGACAGCCTTACCCTTGTGGTCCTAGACGCCTGGCCAAGGGAAGGTCGCATGGGGTCGTCTAGCCTCCTGGTTCCCCGGGTGCCCTTCAGTTCCTTTGCTGGTCGGGAGACTTACTAGCAGTACCCAGTCACACAGCAAGTGAACCGTGGACACCCAGGGCATGGGGTGGGTGGCCTCTGCGGCCTCCCAGGGCGGTAGTTTCATTGAGGCACTTGAGCCATGAACGGTACCGGTCCATTCCAGGTACTGGGCTGTTCCACATGTTTCGGGACGGAGGATAGGACAGTACCGACCTCCTCTTTTATTTTTTTGGGAATATTTGCTCCGATCTATCCGTGGGGAGCAGCATGTGCTGGGAACCGCGCCCAGCGTCCTTCTCGAACAATTAGGGACATCAGTATTTCCAGCGAGGCCCGCGCCCATTTTGGCTCCCACCATTCTATCTCTGCTCCCGGTGCTTCCCCGCAATGTCTGGACCACCCCCTTAAGTACATCCACCCCATATCACACAAGACTCTCTCTCTCTCTCTCTCTCTCTCTCTCTCTCTCTNCTCGCACCCACACAGAGTTGTCACCCCGCTTAGTCTCGATCTCTTATACATTCAATAGATCTCTCACTTGCTAGCTTTGCATACGCACGTGTCGGCGATCTCTCTCTCTCTCTCTCTCTCTCTCTCTCTCTCTCTCTCTCTCTCTCTCTCTCTCTCTCTCTCTCTCCCCCTCCCCCCCCGACCCCGCACCACCAATGGCGCAATGCCGATTTCCCCCGAACACAATGCACCTTCATTAATGTTGCACCTTACCAGAAATATAGCTTGTCTACATTCCTTACCAGGTTGCGTTGTGTTCGGGGAAGACGTGCTCGAATTCAAAATCAGTCCGCTGAAGGGCCTGGGACATCTGGGCAAACGGCCAGAGAAGGCCTGGTACGCGAGGGGACGCCAGGGGATGTCCTCGGACGACGTCTGAGCCCACTTTTTTTTTTTTTTTTTTTTTTTGTTGAATCTTCGTATGTGGGAAACCCACTTAACGAGGTGATAAGAGCAGCCCCGTTGAAGGCTCCATCTATTGGTGGGGAGCTGCACCTGCTGGAAATTGGGTCCAGCGTCCCTATCCAATGATATGGTATCAGCTGGAAATCGGGTCCAGCGTCCCTGTACATGATATGTGGAGTTGTTGTACTGCAAAGTTGCCATACGATGCATCCAATACAGTGTGAATGTGTCATATGAGAGTACCAATGCAGAGCAGCATTGATTGCCCTCTTACGAGGGGATTAACTGCCCTGCTATATCCAGATGTGGATTAAACTCTGTATACCTATCATTGACCCGCTGAAGACAGGAATCAAGCATGCCCCCCTCCACATGTTTGATTCCTTTCATGTGTTACATCCCTAATGTTACCCCTCCACAGTCCACATCTGAACCAAACTCTAGCACAGTATTGTATCCGAACTGTAACCCAACCCACCCGGAATCAATCTTAAAGCACAGGGTATTACATCATTCGATCGCTGTGATGTGGCGATCAGTGTATACACATTTCCACCTCAAATCCCCAACAGTATTCATGTGTTCATTCCCCCGTGTCATATGGTAAGTGTAATCTATCAGTGTGACATATCAATTGTACTGTATGATTTGTACTTCATCCAGGTAATACAGTAATCAAAAGATACACATGTTGCTCACTTAGTCGATCTTACTAACCTACCTCCCAATCCTAAGTTGCACTAACCCCAATTTCACGATGTGATTTCCTTTGCCAAGGGATTTTCCAGTCCCATCTGCTCCCACTCCGACCCCTTCTCCTCCATCGACGAGCTGCCTCCCATGTCTCCCCATAATGTTCTCTGAAACCACGTGTCCCTTCCCTGCCCATAATTGTCCGTGTGAAGGCATGATGCGTTGCAGTTGATACCTTACCTTTATTATGGATATATCCTGAAAATAACGATGCTGCGACACAGCCCATCTTTATTATGGATATATCCTGAAAATAACGATGCTGCGACACAGCCTATCTTTTGCACCTTACCAGGCACTTCCCTTTGCCGATCCGAAACGATTATCTGGCACTGTTTTGGGTAACCTCCGTCGTCATCGAGCAGTTCCGATTATCTGGCACTGTTTTGGGTAACCTCCGTCGTCATCGAGCACGTCAGCAGAGCGGCCATCTCCATCATCCACCTGGCCACGGTGAATAGCATCGTCATCGAGCAGATCAGCAGAGCGGCCATCTCCATCATCCACCTGGCCGCGGTGAATACAGACTCCTTCAGCAGAGCGGCCATCTCCATCATCCACCTGGCCGCGGTGAATAGAGACTTTTTCTTGGTATACACAGTTGTCCACAGCATGCTTCTCACCCCCCCTGTCATGTTGATTGTATTCTTGATTGTGATCTTGATTCCGATCGTCAGGCGCTGCGCGGTGAGGGCAGTCTAGTCCGTCCATTAACCCCAACTTCACCTCCCACTCACCTGCCTCATCAAGGGCATATCCCCTCTTGCCATGGTCTCCAATATCCTGATGCGGATGAGAGTCACCATCACCGTCGACACTCTTAACCTCGTCCTCATAAAAGGGTGCCATCAGGTCAACCCCCCACCCGCCAGCGCCACCCTTATGCTCATCACTATCACACACAGCATCTTCACGGCGAGTCTCACTTTCGGTTTCCAAATCCTGACACACTGCGCAAATGTTTGCATAATAGTTGACCACGTGTTCTTCATCTTGCCTACCTTCACCATCACCTGCAGGCGAGACGTCGCCTTCACTGTCGAAAAGAATAGCATCCACTCAAATTGGTTGCAAAGGATGAGGAGGATTCCAATGCAACAGATCCAAATCAACTTCCATCTTGGTGCACCTACGAGAGAATAGTCATTTTCATCACTTCCCAACACTTCCCCTTCAGGAGTGACTGGCGCGCTCTTTTTTTTTTTTTTTTTTTTTTATATAATAAAGACCCCCATAAAGTGTTAGTGATGCTGCTGAGAGCAGACACCGCCAACACCTGGGGAGCGGCTCCTTTATATTGGTGGGGAGTTGCACCTGCTGGAAACCGAGTCCAGCGTCCCTTGTCAACTTGCAAGGCAAGGTACAAGACGTGCTGGGAACCGGGCCCAGCGTCCCTTCCGTTCATATGATCTTGAGTATGAGGATAGAAAAGAGATTGACATTTTGTGCCTCTTCACCCTGAACGGGCACCATATATGCTTGGCCACCTAGCACTTGCATCCTATTAGAATTAAACTTGATTGCCTGCATAAGACGGAGAATGTTGACGTTGTTATTCCGAGTCCGGCATATACCAAGATCTGGGAACCAAAGCCAGACCTGCAGGGGGAAAAGGATCCGGGAATTCTGATAGTGGTCTCATTGGAATGGTGGGGTCAATGTTAATCCAATCATTGGAGATTAAACAGTAATTCCTTGGCAGTTCATCCTGATCACTGCCTTGAGTTCCTTCCCATTTCACTTGCCCCAACTTTCCTCCTTGTGCCCTTCCAAGCCAATTTTGATTGAATGTTTGTATATGATGTTTAATATCTTTTTCGTGCTCTATCTCCTAAGAGCGTCCAGCGCTGAAGGCTACTACTAACGCTATTAGCGCCCAACGTTCAAGACTACTGCTAGCGCTACTACTACTCCTGCAACGCTCCTCCAGAGTGCTGCTGCCGAATCCTGAAGACCGTGACTACCTCCTCCTGCCTCCTGAACTGCACGTGAAGTGCCTGGGAAGTACCTAGGGACTACCTGCAGCCTGCAGGGCGGGCCAGTCCTATATAGTGTTGGCCCGTCCAGGAGGCTGCTCTTGCCAATGCCGAAACGTGCCAGACCCAACCTTTCTTTGATTGGATGAGAGATTATGCCTTGAGAGTCGTCACTGACCAGAATGAGATCAACTATTTACTGAAGATAGTGAAAGTGAGAATCACTGAGAGAGTATCATATCACTCTTGTAGGGAGCGAGTCTCTCTTGCCATGAGAATTAACAGCGGTTGACACGATACTTTATGATCCGGGTTACTGTGAAAGGATATAACAGAAGATTGAGTAGGGATGATGAAAGAGAACTGACTGAGGATTGTATTGGAAGGCTGAGAAGAATTGCGTTGCCTTTGATCACCACTCAGTCTATTATTGCTTATACTCTCTATGTAGAAAATTATCAAGGGGTAGAGTTATCAAGGCGTAGCGCAAACAATGCTCCTCTTCAGAGGAGCCATGAGGTGGCGCTAAAGCTTCTGGCCACCCCCCCAGTGAAGCACCACACAGGCAAAAAGCCTCGACAGGAAAAGCAGGGAGCATGAGGGGAGAGTGAAACTCAACCCATGATTGGGAAAGATGACTGCCCCCCACTTCAAATTGAAAATGAAAAAGGGAGTAGGGGTGAGACAAAGGGGGGACACTCAATAGGGTACAAGGGTATTGAAAATCAGGCTAACGGTCAAGGTTTTTTTTTTTTTTTTTTTTTTTTTTTTTTTTTTTTTTTTTTTTTTTTTAAAACACCCCCCCACCAGTGTTAGTGGTGCTGATAAGAGCAGACACCACTAGCACCTGGGGAGAGGCTCCATCTATTGGTGGGGAGCATCACCTGCTGGAAAACGAGCCCAGCGTCCCATATACAGCTTGAATTGGTATGTCAGAAAAAAACCATTGTGGGAGAGTTCTGCCAGCATTGATTACCCTGGCATCCAGGGGATTGACTGAGCAGGAGGTAGGGAAGGGGGAAACCTCTTCACCTTGGAACCGGCGCCAGATACCTACTGCTACACACTAGTTCCTCCCTCCCCCCACCAGCCCCAATCCGAACTGTCAATTCCCCTTTTTTGGGTCTGAAATACTGTGCTGAGTCTGCTGACTGTTATCTGTCTGGGATATTGTCACTAAGATAGACCTTCTTTCCTCTGGCCACTCTCCTTGAGTTCATCCATCCTTCCCATACCACTGCATTTCTACGAGACAGTTTGAGAGGGGGGGGGAAGAAGTCTGGGAATTCTCCCGGGGGTTTTAGAGGGATAGTTGTATCAATTTTAGTCCATTCATGAAATATCAGTCGGTAATCTGTTTGCGGAAGTTAGCGAGCTAACGCACGTAACAGCAGCATCTTTCCGATGGTCTTTTTTTTTTTTTTTTTTTTTTCAAACAAGCTCCAGTCTATTCGTGGGGAGCAGCACGTGCTGGGAACCGGGCCCAACGTCCCATATGGAATTGTACAGATCATTGAGAAAATTTGAGATCATTTGAGATACCGGGGCCATTACCCGGCTTCGGCTGAGATCAGTCTGTGAATATCTAATGACTACTCATGCAATAGGCTGCCACAGAGGTCCTACGAATGCTCACAAACCTCAGGATCCCTAACAAGCCCTTCTAAGACGTTCCAACACAGTCTTACTCCCTGCTGAGCTCTTCCAGGCCTCACGCCCCCACCCTGCTGGGTTACAGGGCAACACAACTAGCCCCAGCTCCGACCAGCGTCGTCCCAGCAGCAAACCTTGGCTGTCCCTTGGGATGCCCACCCCAAAGCATTCCCAGATCTTTCTACCAGGCCTCACGCTCCTGCATCAGCAGGTTACAGGGCAACACCCCAGCATCGGCCAGCGTCATTCTGGCATCGAACAGCCGCAAATCACCGAGTATAACCGCTTTAAAACCGCGTAGAATGGGTTGCTAAGAATCCCTAGAGTCCTAAGACATTCATAAGAACAACCGACAAATCATTTTTTTTTTAGAACAATCTGTGAACAGGATGAGATTCAGAAACATGCGGAGGATCCTAAGTATCTAATGCCTATTAGGGAATTACTCATGCAATAGTCTGCCACAGAGGTCCTATGAATGCTCACTACCCTCAGGTTCCCTGGCAAACCCTTTTAAGACTTCCCAACACCGTCTTACTCCCTGCTGAGCTCTTCCAAGCCTCACGCCCCCACCCTGCTGGGTTACAGGGCAACACAACTCGCCCCAGCTCCGACCAGCATCATCCCAGCAGCAACCCTTGGTCGTCCCTTGGGATGCCCACCCCAAAGCATCCCCAGATTTCTCTACCAGGCCTCACGCTCCTGCATCAGCAGGTTACAGGGCAACACCCCAGCACCGGCCAGCGTCGTTCTGGCATCGAACGGCCACGGATCACTGAGTATAACAGCATCGAAACCGCCTACGATGGATTGCTAAGAAACCCTGAAGTCCTAAGACATTCATAAGAACAACCGACTTTTTTTTTTTTTTTCGACTCTACCAAGTCAATAGAATATGTGTGTCAAAAGCCTCCCCATCACTAATCAGATAGGTGAAACCTATTCAATCCACCTACGACCATCACCAGCATGGCTAATTTGAGCACAAACTGAAGCTCTTCCAGGCCTCATGCTCCCATCAGGTTAGGTTACAGAGTTGCACCACCTTGCTCCAACACCGGCCCGCATTGCTCCAGTTACGACCCCCAATGACCACTGGGACTGCCCCCGCAAACAGCCCCCCAGAGCTCTCTACCAGGCCTCACGCCCCCACTAAGCTAGGTCACAGAGTTGCGCCACCTGGCTCCGGCTCTGGCCAGCGTTGCTCTAGCATCGGTCTTCGATGGCCACTGACTTTTCGACCACCCCTCACAGGATCACATATGGCTTGCCAGATAACACCTATTCCTACAACCTCCTCGAGAGGCAACCAAATGGGAAGCTATAGTAAACTGGATGATAGATTTCTTCGAGAGAGAGAGATCGCCCCTCCCTCCCCCTGCCCCTCCCCCCTCAGCCCTACACTGCCTCCGCCAAGGAGAGTCACCCACTCTCCCTCGGCCCCAATATAGGACCAATCCTCTCCCCCCATTTCCCCAGGAGCACGCAGTTCCCACCTAAAGCATGCCCCCCCGTCCCTTACCCATTTCCGCCTCCGCAGGGACTGATGTTGACCCACACACAGTCCTTGCCCCAAAATAAGGCAACCCCCTACTCCGCCCCTACCCTCTTTGAGACATTCACCCCCCACCTTGCGATGCCCCTGCAGGATAGAGCTCCCCCCACCCCCTTCCCACCGTTCAGTCCTCCGGGAACAATCCGATCCAGCCGACAACAGTTATTGATGACACACTTACCAAAATATCATTTGCTTGGATTTTGTTGGATTTTGTTGGATTTCGTTGATGACGATGGACAACACCCTGAAGATGATGATAATGAGAATGATGGTGACAACCAACTCACCTGCTGATGCAGAGCAACATCTAATGAAAACAAGATGGTGATGATGATGATAACGGTGAGAATGAAAACGGAATGATGATGATGATCATACCAAAGAGCAGCGCCAACAGCCCCTATGATTACAAACTGATGATGATGATGATGATGATAATGATGATAGCGATGATGATGGTGATGTCGATAATGATGATGATCTTTCCGATGGTCTTATGTCTTTCCACTGGTGCATCTCGTTACAGCACCCTTATCCCGGGGGGTAGAAAGAGAGTCTCCAGGGTGAAGGTCTTCAAGTTGCTGCTTCCAATGGCTCTATGGCGTCGGGCCCGCTATTACTGCTTTTACTAACTGAGGGCCTGCCATTACCGCTTGGTCCTGTTTTTCTTTCCCTTCTGAACTGGGGGTCTTCCATTACCTCTTTGTTGTGTTTTTTTTTGCCTTTT